ACCTACTACCTACTACCTACTGCCTACTGCCTACTGCCTACGACCTACGACCTACGACCTACGACTACCACTACTACCACTGCCACTACGGCTACTACTACTGCTGCTGCTGCTGCTACTACTACTACTAGTACTACTACTACTACTTGCTACTACGACTACTACAATGAGCGTCCCCTCTAGTTAAGATAGTTATAACTTAAGATATTTCATTTACCGAAGTTATAAACTAGTTACACTTAAGTTAGTGAACCCCTTTCATAACTATGTTATAACTTAGTTATATTTTAGTTACACAAGTTGTTAACTTCAGTAACTTCAAAACGTCTTGACGAAATTAAAATTTTGGTGGCGCGAAAGAAAAACAACAGTCATGAAGGATGAGTAAACCACATCCGTTTACTTTCAAAACATTGATATCAAAAGGTTGCTTGCAGCAAAAGGAACAGCTGGTGAGTGGACCACCACCACCAGCAGCCCTAAGAAGAACCTTTTTTCTTTCACAGCAACACACATGTTTGCAGCAAAGGAAAAACAGGTCAGTGCACAACAACCAGCAGCAGCCCAGAAGAACCCTTTTCTTTTTCACAACAAACACAGGACTTCATTGCCTTGCAGCGTCCACCACACAGGCTGCCAGAGCCTCTCCACCTCTTGGAGATTGATCGCTTTGGTCTCTTTCGTTTGACGAAAGAGACGTGTGTTGGGCTCAGCAGCATTGAGCTCTACCAAGCATTCAACAAATACAAAAAACTCGTCCGACTCTTTGCAAAAGAAGTGGATCAAACCAGCGAAGGTTGACCCCGCGAACAAAACAGCGTCTTTGTGAAGCTCCATGGTACCATTGATGTACCCAGTGCTGATTTCACCACGAAGGCCGCTAGCTTCCTGGACTTGATCAGCTGGAAACACTTTGCCCGTCAGGCTCTTGCCCCACCTGCCTGACTGCAGCTCCACAGATCTGTGGAGCATTCGTCTCAAGGTCCTCTGTGAAAAGACACCTTTTCTCTCTTGGAGCAACCCTTCCAAATCATCGCACAGCTGGTTTTTTGTAAAGCTGGTGTCTGGCTTCTGTGGGCCAGCAGTCGCAGTAGCAACAGGTCAGATAGCAACGCCCGAGGTGCAGGGCTAGGTGATGCTTAGGTCTGACCTCAGCTTCACCGTAGCAGCTGAGGAACAAGTCAAAATGCTTCCTTTGGAGCGCTGGAAGGTCTGAGGGTGAGCCCCATCCACGACGAATGTCTTTCAAACATCTCGCGACCGCCAGCAAGGCTTCAAAAGACTGGAGCTCGGGCACAGTGTCATATGTTGCTAGTTTGCTGGCATAGTAGCCAGTCAAGGATAACAAATACCAGACAGCGCTGGCTGATCCCTTGTATACATTTCCCTGCCAATACGCATCGTGGAACAAGTGCTTGCGGGCGCTCCGCGGTCTTAACCTTGAAAGACTGGCACTTCCATTCAACTTCTTGAACGCTATTGCAAAGCTGTTGCAATGTGATTCCAACCTTTTCTTCCAATGAAGCTTGCAGGAGTACCAGCTCCTGTGCACAGATTCCGTTGCTGAAATAGACGTGCATACTGTCTAGGGCCACCTTGTCAAGGCTCAGCAGACCACGCGCCTGAGTGGAAGCCAACACCGTCGTTGGATGGACTGTGAAGCCCAAAACTCTCTCCTGCTCTTCTCTTTCTCTTTTGGGAAGGCCTGGAACTGTGGCTAGCATCTTGTCATACACAGCATTCAGTTCTGCCTGCTGGAGAAGTTGAAACTCATCTATGTTGGAGCAAGTGATTCTGCGAAAGTAGCTGTCAGCACGGTCAGTTTGAGACACTTTTGAAACACAATTCATACACAAACAGCATGGCTTTAAGGCGGCTGCCCCCTTGGCCCCAAAAAGCCGTATGATTGCATCACAGTCGCCCAGCACAGCTTTGAGTGACAGGGTGAAATGCTTCCCTGCCACCTGAACACCATGTGCAAGCGACTGGGAAAAATGGTTGCAAAGCTGGACACAAATTGCTGAGAGCCCTCCTGGAACCAAGTTCAAGTCCATGACAGGAACCAAGGAAACCGGAAGCCATGCTTCTGGCGAGCGCAAGTGTTGCGCTTCGTTGACAGCAAGGTAAAACAGAGTAGATTTTTTGCTCTGTGCTGTTGCCAGCACGTTACCGCCTGTGGTTTCATCACAGTACCAAAGCAAGGACAGGTGCTGCCCTGCAGAGAGCAACGCTTCTTTGTAAACGGTGCTGTGGGCTGCGACATAGTTGAAGAGAGCTTCTAGATTTGCAGCGTAAAAGCAAACTGGCTCACCATTCTCATCGGCTATCGTGATCGGAACATAGACTTCCTTCGCAGGTTCCAAAATTTTTGCAACTTGCTTCCTGAATGCACCTGTTGGCTTCGATGCTGTCTCTTTTCCAGCAGCAAACCGGCTCAGCTTGAATACAAGTTGAGCACTTGCATGGGCCAAGGATTTTGACAGCCATTGCTTCTTGGAAGGATGCGTTGCCATGTGCGCACAGAGTGTGCCAACTCTAGCAATGTCATGTTGTATATGTGATGTCTAAACCAGTGTCACATAGAAAATGTCGCACCGATTGGGGATATGTTCTAGTTGGTCTGTGACATGTGATCCTGCAGGTGTAAACAGGAGCGTTGGCCGAGATTTAGCTGTGTAATAATTCGCACTTTGCGTGCCACCACAATGTCTAAATGAACAAATGTTTTCTGATTAGTTACGGGTGTATACTAGCTGCGTCTAAATGTTGTTACAACTATATATAAAGTGATTTTGTGGACCACCACAAAATCAAACGCACCAGTTTTTACAAAAGTAAATATAGATATTCATACACACACACACATATATATACATGTAGGCAAAGAGAAAGAGAGAGTGTTTGCAGACTATGGTTGTTGTGGTCCTCTTTCCATTCTTCTGAGGTGGTGGTCCACCCTGTTTTTTTCTGAGGTGGTGGTCCACCTTTTCTTTGTAAGGTGGTGGTCCACCTTATACAAGTATATGTTTGTTGGTATGTTTGACAATGGTGTGTTTTTGTTTTTTGGTGGTGAGGGTCAACCATGTTTGGTAGCAGTTTCTTGGTAGCGGAGCCATCATCATTTTTAGGTGGTTTTGTATGTCTTAGTTCTAGGTAAGCCCAGCAACCTCTGAACAGAAAAGCAGAAACAAGACGCATGCAAAAAGTGAATGACCACGCCACCCTTAGTTTTTCCACACAGCTCTAATGTGTGAATCTCCACCGCAGTAATTACAGCGAGCTGAAAAAACTCGCCCTCCGCAAGCAACATAGCTGGTAATCTAATTAGGCGCCGGCCTTGGCCGCTTTGCGGGCATATGCCAATGCCTTCAGCACATTATTGCAGCTCTTCACTTCAGGGCCAATGTCACTGGAATGGAGTGTCTCGAACTGGCTCTGGTCGACCACCTTGCCAGAACTGACCAGCTTCAGGATCTGTTGGGACTCATTAATGACAGTTTGCGCCCAGGCAATCTTCTCCTGAAGATTCTCAATGGTCATCTGATCAATTTTGTCCCTGTTCTTGTCCTTGTCCACTGCCGTAGAAGCCTTTTGGAGCTTGGCAAACAGAGGTTCCACTGAAGTGATCACCTTGGTAGCTTTGGTCGTCAACTCCCTCGAATTCTTCTGCTGCTGAGCCAAATCTTTCTTCTCCTTCTTCAACTGTTCGCGCTTCAGCTTTGCCAGGGTTTGCTTCTCACTCAGGCCCTTGGGGAGCAGCACCTGGGCATTCGATTGTTTCGAAAACCAACTAAGATTAATAACCATTTGTTGTATGGGTGGCTGGGGCTGCGCATTGGGATCCAAACCATAAAGGAACATATTTGAGATTCACTCGTCAGAGCTGTGTGAAGCAATGCTCGGGATTCCGTAAACTGGTTGAACACTTATTTGATAGGAACCTGAACTGAAAATAATTCACACCCATATGTTGTACCCTTACTCCCTTATCACCGGATAATGGTTCAGGAACATCTCAAACTCAAACATTGATTTGAAGGAACGTTTGTTTTTGATGCAAAAGGACAGGTAGACCATGAACAGGTCGAACCTTCAGAACTGTAGCTCGACACTCAATCCCAAGCACACATGAAAAAAACAAAAAGCATATCGTGACCCTTTGGACATAAATTAACAAGTCACTTCAATGTCGCTGTCTGACTCCATGTCCATCAGGTCGACAAAGATGGGGTCTGGATCCTTCTTGTCACCTTCCTCTTCGACATTGCCCTCGTCCTCCTGGGTCTCCTTGCCGGTCTTCTTTGCCTTCGCCTTCTTCTTGGGCTGTCGCCTCATGTGCTCAGGAAGGTGGTTCCTTTTCACAGATTTTTCAACCTGTGTCAAGGATTCCTCGATGTCCTGTTCGATGAAGGCTTCACTCAAAGTCTTGATGTCAACGCGGTATGTGTCACCCAATATTGGGCGCACTTCCTTCTCTGCAAGATCCTGAATCCTTTGGGTATCAAAGCCTCTCAGGCGATAGGTTTCCAGTGGCAAGAATTCGCCAGAAACGCTCCTCTTGTTCTCTGTCACCGTCTTTCTCACCAGCACATCCTTGAGCTCTGTGCGCAGGACTTTGAACTTAAGTGGCCCCTCCTCGGTGTCCTTCTTGGCAAGAATAGCTCGAAAGAAGTTCACCCGCTCTGTATCTGTCAGGCTATCCCACGCAGGTGGCATGGTTTTGAAGTGACGAGACATCATCACAGATGCGGCGTGGCGTCCTTTGCAGGTGACAGACTTTTGGTTCAGGCTCTTCATGACCGTGTTTTCAAGGGACACCGGCAACTTACACTTTCCGCAAAGGAGAGCCTTGCTGGCATCATCATCCCTTTCATTCCCCTCAACCATCTGGCTTGAAAGGTCGATCATAGTCTGACCCCCGTTGCCGTAGGCCTGTGTTTCATCCATGTCGATAGAGTCTTCTGGCTGGCGGCTCATTTTCACCGGTACCACCAACTGCAAAGTGCAAAGGTGATTGAAAAATTGCTTCGTCAATCAGATCAAACCCATCAATAAACCAAAGCGTATCTATATGTTTCCACACAGTATCAAGATGTATCCACAAGGTATCAAAGTGTATCAACCTGTATCCACATGGTATCAACGTGTATCAACATGTGTCCACATGTGTATCAACATGTTGATACCTGTGTATCAACATGTATCAACATGGTACGAAAAGTGTATCAACACGTGTCCACATATGTATCAACGTGTGTCCACACGGTGTCAAAGTGTATCAACATGTATCCATGTAGTATCAACATGTATGAATACGTATCAAAACTCTAATGTGCCAACTGAGGTTGAACGGACACAAACCAGGAATACACACGCTCCAAATAACTTGTCGGCAATGTCATTGGTGATGGTTTGTACCTTTCTGTGCCTGTAGATGTCTTTAGATTTACTGGTCCAAGATTTCGTCGGCAATGTCTTGGGTGATAGTTTGTACGATTCTGTGTCTTAAGGTATTTTTCATATCCAGCCCCAAGAGTTGGTCGGGGATTGATGCTTTGTATGGCCCGGTCTTTAAAGTGGCCTGCTTGCAGAATTTGTCGGGAATGTGCTGAGGTAGTTGAACAGGTATTCTGACACAATGAACCAATGCCAAAACACTTGAGAACCAGCACAAATTGACAAATGGTGGACCACCACCATTTATCAAGCAGTCAGTCAGGTCAAAGTCAAAGCAACGCCAAAAAATATCAAAGTGTCAAGGTGCGGTTATTTTTCCACATCTTCTGCGGGAAAGTTGTTTGTTCTCTACTTCCTAGCGGGTTTCTTCATCGCACCCTTCATAACCCTCTTGGGTTTGCTCAGTGCAGACTGCTTCCCACCCTTTGCTTTCTCTTTCCCTGTGCTTGAGCCAATCGCCTCCTGATCTCCATAGCTGTCAGCGGTTGCAAGCACTGACTTCCAGTCCTTCTTCCAAAAGCATTCTTCAATGACCATATTGCCAACCACGAACCTGAAAATACACGCGTTCTTGTCAGGCCAGGCCTTGTCATGAGCAGCAACTGCTTCAATCAAGGTGGACTCCACTTGTTTGCCCTCGAACTTGACTGTGGTGATGGTAGTGGCATTGAAGCTCAGGCGCATTTCTAAAGTAGCGGCATCAATCTTTTCAATGGTGATCGGACGTACAAGCTCCGTTTCAAAAACCTCCACCAAAGCTGCTAAGTTGGAGCGCGGTGCCACAAAGAGTTTGTAGTAGCGCGGTTCCTCACTATTCTCATCTACCATATCACTCTGGTAGGTGAACTTGGTAGTGGAGCCAATGTAGCAATTGGTCGAAAGGTACAACCTTAAGTCAGGATTGCAAAATGTAGATTTCCAAAACTTAGTATAGTAGTCCTACTAATAGCCAATACTATATACTTATAAGATCGAATATCATGCGTAAAATAAAATACAAACAAAAACAATAGAAAGGTATTTGAGTGACAAGGATCAAAAGAACAAGTTGGATACTGTAGATGGAAAAACTTGTTGATAGATATTGAGTATGGCCAGTATGAGACCATGTGTGAACTGGATTGACACAGCCTCAATCACTGTTGGTTTCCTGAGCAGAACTAATTGTTGTTCTCCAAGCGGCGTTCGCCCACCAAGACGAAGACGTAGAACCTGTTTTGGAGGAAGGCGGCCGGACCAATCACATCCCTGAAACATGCGTGCGCGAGTTGAAGCGTCTAACTCTGCTTCATTGGCCATGGCAGCGCTGGTGAATCCATAGGTGAACCTCATCATATTAGCTGGGGCTATAGGGTTTGAGGCGAAGATGTGTTATTCCTGCAGTGAAGAAGCTTTGGAACCTGCAAGGCAACTCGTTAAACATGTGCATGTAATATAGTATTATCTTCAGGCGGACCACCGCCTGAAGAACATTTGGCACAAACATGTACAAAGCAAACCATAAGAAGAATGGACACGTTACGCATAGCTTCTTTTTGCGCCGCCTGCAATTATCATTTGGCCCTTTGCACACCCAGTGATCTCTCTAGCTCGCGGCGGCTGATTCCCAACTGCTGTGCCCATTCTCTCATCCCATTCCTGTCTAGTGGAAACCCTGGGGTGAAGAAAGTTTTAGGTGGCACATTGCTGTCACTGGCGTGTGGCGCCTTCACTGGCGTGTGCGCTTCCTCTTCGACAGCAGCCTTGCTGTGGGCACTATCCAGCGGTGCTTCCATTTTGGAAGCAGTTTGCCCTCTTTCTATTGGATCTGTCTCGCCTCCGGCCTGTCCATGAGCTGCCAGCGGTGCTTCCATTTTGGAAGTTGGCTCGCTTCTATTTCTACTGGAGCTTTGAAGGTCTCTTTGAGTTCTCGAGCCATTGCTCCACCTCCATCCTGTCCATGAGCTGCTTCATCGTCCTCTTTTGCAACATTGTCCTCTGCAATGAAGAGCTCCAAGACTTGTGTTGGTGGTCTCTCTGCTTGGTGCTCAGGTTCTGCGGGCTCTTCCAGGCTGTGGTCAATCTCAGTCTCTGCAACACTTTCTAGTAGGAGAGTGCGCGTTCGGGCCTGAGTTCAAATCCAAAACAAAAATCCAATGTCCCTATTCATATGTACCTGGAAAAAATAACTTAAAGCAAACAGAGGGTGAACTTGCTAGCGGAGCCAAAGGACCCGTTTGTTTGGGGAAGCTTGCTCACTCTCTTCTCCACTGGAGTCTGCGCAAAGGCCAGCCTTGCTCAGCCTGCTCATGTAGAGGGATCGACGCCATGGGTAATTGCCCGCCGCCATTGTTTGAAAGAGCGTAAGTAGTAAGTGAAACCAACACACTCCTTGCATTAGGGAAGTGTGGCATTTGGGTGGGTGAGTTGAGGTCTATTATGGAAACATGTATAGGCATGTTGCACTTGAGTATATATTACCAATCGATTGAGCCTCAGGAATCGACATTCACATTCTTTCTGCAGAGGACAGCTGAACAAATAGACAAACTACAGTTTGTTTGAAACAAATTGCTTTGATCCCCCAGTGGACCACCACCAAGGGATCAAATAAAACACGCAACCTTTCATGATGCTTTCTTTAATTGCCACAACAAATTGCTTTGATCCCCCAGTGGACCACCACCGAGGGATCAAATAAACCATATTTTCTTTCATGATACTTTCTTTAATCGCCACAACAAATTGCTAAACATACTGTCTTCCATGGCCCTATTCAATCTCTTTTGAACAACCGCGAAAAAAAATCTCTGGGTGCAAAACCCTAGCGCCCTTTTCCTGAAGTGCCGTGTTGTCACGGCCACAGTCGCGTGCCAATCTCACACTTTCACCCTCTAGAAAGAATTGGCAGCGCTTCGCACATCTAAATGGTCCAGCCGCGGCCTGCCCAGCAGCTGATAGTACAAAATGGAACCCATCTGCACTTGCTGCAGCCCTTCTTCTTCTCAGCCTTCAAGTGAGCGGGAATGCTCTTCAACAACTTTTCCTTGAGCTCACTCTTGCTCAAAGACTTCTCGCCGACCTGTTTTGCGCCAGCACTTTTGGGTGCTGGCTTCGTATTCTTCCTCACCTGCTTCTTCATTGCTTGGCCCGTCGCGTCCATCTTGGCAGGCTTTTTTTGGGGGGCGTTGACGGCGGCAGCAGGCCTTTTCAAAGTTCCCCTGGCCTGCTGCATCCTCTCCAAGCTTTGGCTCAAAGTCACACGCCCCGGTTGCTCTACGGCAGGACCTGGGCAAGCCTTTTCCAGAGAACCTGGGCAAGCCATTTCCGGAGCATTTGGGCAAGCCTTTGGTTCAACTTGAGGCGGCTCGCTTGGTGGCACTTGCGGCTTCTCAGGCTGCGCTTCAGGCAACTCCACTTTCATACTTTGGGCCTTGTCCTGGAGGGCAAGTGTTCCTTGAGTGGACGCAGCAGGCAGTGCCGGGGGGCGCATCTTCCAAAGCAAGTGGAGGTGACTGCTGGGAGAACTCTGAAGAGTTGGACCTTGCTTTGTCCAATAGGCAATTCAACTGCGCATGCTTTGGCTGCGGGCGCAACATTGTCAAAGGAGTTTCCTGCTGAAAAGAAGCGCCATGCATAGCCAAGCCATGCAGCAAGAAACCCTGCATCAGAGCTACGCATTGCGGTGTCAAACTTTGAAGCATAGCTGAAGGCACCTGCGAAACTGATACATCCTTTCTCGTCTTCCGCATCGGGATGTCCTTCGCCGTGGTCAGGATCACCTCTAAAGGCCAGGGCAGCGTGGGAGTTTGCCCGTCTGGAAAACACAATTCCTGCATCGCCAGTGGAGCTTCTTTTGTGTCTGCTGGCAAGCACTTCACACAGCCAAAAGGCAAGGCTTTACCATGTTGGTCTTTATTCCTCGCCAGCTTCGCTTGTAACTGCGCCTTCACATTGCCTCAGTGAATCAAACAATTAAATCAATCAACCTGTGCTCTAGACAAGCAATTCCACAGGAAGACATGTGCCACTCACTGTTCAAAGGCAAAGGCGCAAAACAAGCTTCTCAAGGCGTCAGCGCCCCTCGGCTTGCGCTCATCGTTTTCACGAAGGATGAGAAGCGCTGTGAGCATTGCCTGAGTAGGTTCCGAGGGCGTCCTCATGCCGAGCTGCAGCAGCCAGACAAGCAAAATGTCGAGCGCAGACACCATGTTTGCCGCCTTTTGGAAATTCTCCCACAGAGAGCTTGGTAGGTAACAGGGAAACAATTCCCAGTTCTGCATAGCCTGGCGCTTGCCATGCGCATTCTCATTCTCAGCAGCGTCCGACATGGATCTGCCAACTAGACCTAAACAAAAAAAAGGCCTTGCCACCAGAACGTTGCCTAAGACAACAAATGGCTGCCAAACACTATGAAACATTTAGCGGACCACCGCCAAAAAAACAGCTTCAAAAAAACACAATCTACAGCAATTTAAACCAGCTCTCTCAAAAAAAGACGTAGACCCTTT